GCTCCTCAAGCCCCGCCCCCGCGGAACCCGCGCTCCGGAGCACCCGGTTGGCCAGGCCCGGAGTGGGCCCGAGGCGGACGTGAGCAGGGTCGGACCAAGATGGCGGTGCAGGTGGTACAGGCGGTGCAGGCGGTTCATCTGGAGTCGGATGCTTTCCTAGTTTGTCTCAACCACGCTCTGAGCACAGAGAAGGAGGAGGTGATGGGGCTGTGTATAGGGGAGGTGAGTAGGTCAGTTAGCCTGACCGGAACCCTGCTGAGCAGTCGCAGCGTGTGCCCGGGGTGGGTGTTGGCAGCGCCCACGGCTGCGGAGGCTACAGGCACCTCTGACCTGGACCCTTGGGCTGATCCTTTGGAAGGTCAGGTAGTGGGGGCCCTGTTTCCTCTGTCTCTGGACGCTTGTTTAGCCTCCCGCAAACCCCCAGCGATCTGCATAATCCTCCGGGTGGGCCTTGCAGTTTCTCTTATAGTCTGTGGCTTTTCTCTAGATCTGGAGTTATCACCCCATTGACCAAAACCGCAAGTCAGGCTGTAAAGACATCGTAGTATAATGAGGACACCGGTGTATTAGGAAGCATCCAACCACGATTAGGGCCCCTGGCCTCGCCTCCAGTCTGCCTTCTGGGAAGCCTTCTAAGTGTATCAGAAAACCAGACAGAGAAGAGGGTTTCAAAGATGCAAAGGTTTCCACTGGGTTAAGTGTTGGAGAGGAGCAAAAGAGGATGAGGAGATAGACCTTACTTGTTTACAGTCCGAAGTAAGAATTCTCCAGTCTTTCATGCTGGTGTACAGGAACACATGACCCAAGTTTCATATAATCTACATCCATGTACATCAAACTAGCGTAATGTGATCAATAATGTTTTCTGCTTTTTCCCACTCTAGTTGAATGATGACACAAGGTAAGATTATATTTGTTTACTCATATCTTTTGATCTCTATGTCACTGTTAACTCAAAATTATGACAAGGTTGGCAATATTGTGTACAACTTGTATTTTAAGTTACCATTATGAGTCCGGAGTTCCCTCAGTGATACACTTTGAATTCCACCCCAACCCTGAAGGTTGGTTTCCACCTTACTTCCTACTAGGAGAATTTCAGTTGATATATGTATGACCTTCTGTAAAAAATATGGGTAGGGGGTACCAGGATCATGAGTGAACCTGTGAAAGCTCTTACACATAGAATTTTGTTTACTCATACAGTGCTGTTATGTTCCGTTTTATTTCTTGATATGTTTTATGTTCTCTCTCTCCTGAAATGACAATGAAATACAGATAATTTTCTTTGCAGCAAATGATAAGCATATTAAGAAACATTTCCCCCTATTGACTCATTCCTTTGACTAAATTGTCAATGGCTTTCTGCCTCCCCCTGGTGGACCCTACAATGATCTCAGAGATGTCCAGGAACTTGAATGCTTGAGGAGGCAAAAGCTTTGGGTTACCTTTATTTAAATTTCAAAGCGTAGCGGAATGTGTATTTCTCAAGCCCACCTCCTTCATACCCAGGATTCTAGGAATTTCGCTTTGCCACCGAGCAGATTATGTACTTAGCCACTCTTCCTTTGTCTCTGCTAAGGTTTCATTGCAAAAACTTTGAATCTTGTTACTTTGCTTTAATATCTTTTTATATTCCAAACCTGAGTTCCTTTTTTCCCCCTAATTTATCCCCAAAAGGAGTGACTCCAAATTTACATATACCGGAACTGAAATACGCACAGTTGCTGAAAAGGTATGTGTGCTAGACTTTTGTATGATAGAAACTTTCAGTTGGGGAGGGATTTCTGTCCTCAATTTGATGATCTCAGCCAGGGATTAACTGGTTTGTGCAGGCCCACACTTGTGGCTGGGTAGGGTGTTCTCTCTAGTAAAATCAGATGAAAAGTATACTCATTAGGACTGGAACCTAATTTTTCTATTTGTAGCAAATTCAGATGAGTAATCGCTCTCAGCCCTCCTCCTTGCTGTTCTCTGCCTGATCTCTGGCCCTTCTCCCTGCTTCCTTGAGACTTTTGGCTGGTTTGCTTCCTTGAAATCTGTGAATTTCTTCACATCACTGTTATCTCAAGTCCCAATTCCTACTTGGGCAACCTTCTCCTATAAGCAAACTATCCATAACTTATAATTCTTAGTCTACCTTGATTTTTTTTCTTGTCTACAATCCCGCCTCGCCTTTTCTGGCATGCTCTAGCCTTCGTGGTGTAGTATAATGCTTTTCAACCTATACTTTTTGGTATAGGGCCATTTCATTGTTTTTCCAATATGTTGCAGGCCACTGCTTTTGTAAAATACGATAAAAATAAATTATGGCCTCTTCTCTGCCAAGCAGATGATGGGCATGGTAAAAACTATCAGGCAACAACTCCATCTACTTTTTACCCCTATATCCAAACTTCTCCATGTTAACCACTTTGCTTCCTTTCTTCCCATATCAAGGGAAGAAGTTTACTTCCTATCCAGAGCTACAGGTTCTTCAGAGACCTTGCTTATCAAATATTCTATTTTCTGAGTCTTCAACCTTTTGACAGGCTTTTTCCCCTTAGAATACAAATGTGCTTAAATTACTCTCATTTTCACAAAGGAAAGAAAAATAACTTTTCAATCCTGTATATTCTTGTAGTCACTACTCTTATATCCTTCTTTTAATAGCCAGACTGCTTGAAAGGATAGGCTACAATCATTATTATTTCTTTACCTTCAATAGTCACACATACCAAGATCTGGTTTCCAGCTCTCTCTCTTCAGCCACCTCCCCATTGCTATATCAGTGGATTATTTCTTGGTGCTTATCTTAATCTTTCTCCTCGGAACTCTGAACTGTCATTTTTTTTTTTTGTATCTCCCTATTCCTCTCCCCTCCCTCCCATCCATTATGGGCTCTTCATCTTCTGCATTAAATATTGGTATTCTCCAAGTTTCTGGCTTGGCCTCCTTGCCTTCCTGGAATGTCTTCTGGGCAACATTACCTTCCCTATGGCTTTAGCTACGGCATTGAAGTTAGACAGATCTGTCTTTAAATCCTTCCTCTGATACTCACTCTGTGACTTTGGGCATGTTGTCTAACACTCATTTGTAAAATAGACATAATAATGAGTGTTTTACATACATTACCCAAATCCAACTCTCCCAACAATTCTATGAGGTTGGTGACTGTCATTATCACTGTTTTACAGTTAACATGTAGTGTAATATTAGTTTCAGGAGTAGAATTTAGTGATTCATCACTTACATATAACACCCAGTGCTTATCACAAGTGCCCTCCTTAATACCCATCGCCCATTTAACCCATCCCCCTGCCCACCTGCCTCCGTCAACCCTTAGTTTGTTCGCTATAGTTAAGGGTCTGTTTTATGGTTTGCCTCTCTTTGTTTTTTCCCCTATGTTCATCTGTTTTCTTTCTTAAATTCCACATATGAGTGGAATCATTCGGTATTTGTCTTTCTCTGCTGGATTTATTTCACTTAGCATAATACACTCTAGCTCCATCCACATAGTTGCAAATGGCAAGATTTCTTTCTTTTTATGGCTGACTAATATTCCATTGTATATATATACCATATACCACCTCTTTATCCATTCATTAGTCAGTGGACATTTGGGCTCTTTCCATAATTTGGCTGTTATTGATAATGCTGCTATAAACATTGGGGTGCGTGTATCACTGGGGGAGTTACCAAGTTAATAAATGGAAGGCATTTTTCCAAGTGCCTGACACATGGCAGGTAGCCAATAAATATTTGTTGTTGTTAATATCCAGTAGATAGTAGTTAATATCAATTATCCCAAGCTCTAGTACTTCATACACTACTGCCTATTTCAAGTTTAGCTAGACACAGGCATCTTTTCTTTTTTTAAGATTTTATTTATTTATTTGACAGAGACAGACACAGTGAGAGAGGGAACACAAGCAGGGGGAGTGGGAGAGGGAGAAGCAGGCTTCCCGCTGAGCAGGGAGCCCGACGCGGGGCTCGATCCCAGGACCCTGGGATCATGACCCGAGCTGAAGGCAGACTATTAACCACTGAGCCACCCAGGCGCCCCTAGACATAGGCATCTTAAACTAACATGTTCAAAACTGAACCTTCCCTCTTCCTCAAACCCACTCGAACATTCCTCTGCCACAGTAGTTCCCAAGCCTGGGGGCACCTTGGAATTACCCATATTATTTCCAACACTTCATCCCAACTGCTGCTACCTTATTGGAGATCCTTATTCTTTTCTTGAATACTCGCTAGCCTCTCCCCAGTCTTCTTGCCTCGAGTCTCTTGCCTCTAGTCCTGTCTTCTGATTGCTTAGGGTGTGATCTTTTGAGAACATAAGTCTGACATACCTCTGCTTAAAATCAGTGCATTTCCCATTACCTTTAGGATGAAGCCTCATTAGTTAAGCATTCAGGGCCTTCTTGATCTCATTTCTATTTATCTCCAAGTTCTAACCATGGTAAATTATGGCATTTTCCAGTTTATGCTGTACTGTTTCATTCCTTGTATCTGCTGGGTATTATGCTTGGACTGCATCCCTCTCCTCTGCTTGGTTAATTCCTTAACCCCTTGCAGGTGCCACCTGTCTCCTTTAAGGAATCTGTCTCTCTTCCTGGACATGACTACTGTATCCTGTTTATCTTTGTGTACTTAGGCCCTCACGTATATATGTTGTATGGAATGAACATACATTCCCTAAAATAGGAAATTAGTGTTTACCTGCCCATGAGCCGTGGAGAGGCATGCCAGGGGGCACAGA